TCTGGAACATTATAGTAGTATAATTTTATTCCAGGGGATTAATTCCTCCGCTAGCCAGGCCACGTAAAACGCACTTCTCCGTACTCCGCGTCCTCCGCAAGATGGTGTAGCCAAGTGCGACGAAACTTTAATCCTGGTGATGTATAATATAATATAATATAATATAATATAATATAATAGTATAATAAAACTGCACGAAACCGTGCAGTATCGCCATGCGACCTAGGACCTACTCGAAACTTGTAACATGAGCCTTTGTGGAAGCCACTGCGGGCCTTAAATCCTGCTGATGTGATCCGCTCTACATCTAGAAGCTTGAAGTCTTTGTGTAGCGGCGGCCGGGAAGTGCAACAACTCACGTTCAGTCGGGCAAAAACTGTCCGTTCAACGCCGAGTCATGCCGAAGTCGGAAAAGGCTATGGTGAAAGTTGGAGTCTAGGTCAGGCCGACCAAGCTGGAATGAAGAACTTGGGGGAGTCACACCACACTCAATGGAGGTGCTTCACCGCAACTACACGTCAAAATGTGACCTGTGGAGCCTCGGTGCCTTGCGCCCAGAGAGTTGTCCATGACGTGCCGTCTCCCGTGTGTGCCGTTTGGCGCATTAGTGTGGTGTTTCGCGGTGGAACTCCGAAGCCTGAGGTCATTGCCTACACATTGCTTGTGGGAAGCTTCCCTTTCTCTGGAAGAGATGGCGACAACGCCATGCTGCAGCGGATAGCTGCGGGAAGGTGGGTACCGGGTTGCCCTTGGCTCATCATCGGCTCAACGCAACGTCACCGTGGGTCCAAACAGATGGGCAGGTTTGCGACGGAACGTGATGCCTGGAAAAATGCCTCGCCATCTGCCAAGGACAGCTCCTAGGTGACAGGACTGAGAGCACTTGGAGCTTTGATGTTGTCAGGACTTCGTTTGCAAGCTGCTGACGGCTTTGTTGGTTGCAAGAAGTTGGCAGAACTTTTCTGAATGCAAGTCGCTCCGCTGTTCCGGATTCGATGCAGCCAAGGTCGAGGCTCGTCGGCGACCCGATGCTGACCAGGCCCTCCAGTCCCCTGGCCTGGATAAGTCTCAGGTCAAGCCTGGGACCTCCTCTGTAGTCGCGTCACAGCCTCAAGGCACCCCTGGATTTCCAAGCGCGACTCAGTGGCTCGCAGCTATGTCAGCAAGGACTGAAGTAGTCGCCAATGCGTGCAACGCTGCTGCAGAAGTTCGCGAAGTGGCTTCCAGACTACGAGTTCGGACGCCAGGACATCGTCGACGCACTTTGCTCTTTCTCTGAAGCATCGGCCTTTCGCCGAAGCTCGCTTGAAATGAGTCTCCATGAGGTTGTAGGGTGGGCTGTCGGCTGAAGTTCAGTGGGTGGCACTGCATGCACTGGGCCATGGAATCACCTCAGTCTACAGCAAGAGGGAAAGAGCTCAGCAAGAGTCCTCAGCACCCTTGGCTCCGCTGATAGTCCCTCATGAAGACTTAAGTATTCTCCAGGCCGTGTAGTTTGAAGTCGCTAAGGTGCTTGTTTGCTGGTCATGGCCATTTCCCTCTCCAACGAGGAACCGACCCGCAAGCCCAGAAGCTGCCGATATTTGTAGCATCTCTTCTCATCGATGAGCCACGAGCATGCGGGCAATGGCCCAAGTGACACCACATGGCGATCACGAGCACAAACGCCAAAGACTGTCCGTCAGGAGCGTGCCGAGGTTCACAAAGCCTTTCTGGAGATCGACAAGGCCTTTTCTGGTTCGGATCCGGAGTTGGCGGGGAGTTTGGCAAAGGCGCTACAGGTAGCTCTGGAAGGTGACCTCGAGCTGCTCCCTTCATGCCACATATATATATATATATACACATACACCGCAACTCGCTGAATCGCGTCCTCAAATCCGGAACTCTCAGGATTCTTCTAAGTTCGAAGCCCCCCGGGATGCACGACTCCACCTTGCACAAAGCTCCAAGCGCTAGGATCACAGTGGCACGATTACCCTCAGCGAGCTTCGCAGTGTCCTCGAGGACTAGTTTCTGGGGGGATCGGTGGCACCGGGGGGATGGATTTTGGAATGTCGAGTTTCGGTTTTTCAGCTTCAAGAGTCGGCGCTCCCCCGTCTTCCGACAAAAGTCATGCCGATGCATCCCGTGCATGCACATCGCTGGTGTGATTTTTGCTGAGGAGAAGTTCCACATTGAGGATGCAGCGGTAGCCAGGACAGCATGCATGCAGTTCCCTACAGTGGCTCCGTGTCAAGACAACAGGAATCTCACAGAGACACAGCAGTGAGCAGGCTTTGGGAAGAGGGCTGTAAGCTTCTTGAGCGGCTCAGCTCCGGAACTTCCTCTAGTTGTTTTGGGCGTGTAGGTGTCAGATAATGGATGACTTTGCACGGCTTTCCTGCAGCTGCCGTCAGGACATTCCAGTCGCTTCAGTCCCCATTGTCCAGACCAGTGCTCAGGAGTTCTCAGGCATTTCAGCGCAGCTGCACAAGAGACTTCTTCCTCTTGCACTGCCCAAGTAGCATCGCTAGCTGAGCTAAGGAGACGAGGTAATTAATTACTCAGATTTCCTGGCCGCGATGATGTCAAAGCGCACCTGGGCCGAAATCGCGTGTGAACATCCCACCGATCGCAGGGGCCACTTGCATGTGCATGCTGAGGGAGGTCTATCCGATTCGACATGCAGGAGTCAACCATGAATTAAGTAGTGGGCACGGCCTTAGACGCAGCTGATGGAGTTTACTGCCAGGCATCTCCATCCATGATGATCTTCTGCATGATGCCTTCGCACGGTTCGACACCGACAACTCTGGCTACATCACGCTGCCGAAGCGCGGGGGCTTGCACAGCTCGTGAGAACATCAGAAGTGCATTGTGGAACGCGCTGACACTCGCGATGTGAGCAGACGGTAAGAGCTCAGCTCGAAAGCCATGCGAGGGCATTTTGAGGGCATGCGGGATGTGTGCAGGCTCGTAGACCTGTGGGTGGGTGGGTGGAGGGGCGCATTTTCCAGGAAGGCCTCGGTGGTCACGCATGCCGCTTTCCATGTGTTGGCGCATGTGCGTGCGATCCGCCCTCTCCCGAAGGCTGAAGATGTTGCTGGGAGATTCCCTCTCAGAGTCGGAGCTGAAGCAGGTGATGCGGGAGGCGGAAGCTCGGTGTGAAGAGCCTCAGGGAGCCTGAATTTTGAGTTCTTTGGGTTATGCTTTTACAAAGTTCCACGGGTTTGCTTGCAATATTTTCCTTGCTTCGACGACTCGAATGGATGCTGGAAGGGTGAAGCGGGTGGATAGGACCTTGTTTCGAGTGCTACGCTTTGCCCATAGGCTTGAACCGCCGCAAGCAAGGACACGGACAAGGATGGCTACATCTCGATGAACGAGTTCGTGCAGAGCTAGCCCTAGACACTTGAGAGTTGCAAGAAACTTGCAGTGAGACTTGTGGAGTTGCGTCGATCCATGCATTCGGCTATCTAACTCGACTAGTATTGGTCGCTTCTACAAGACAAAGTTTTTTCTGATAAATACAGAAATGATCCAAACCAATGTATGCAGCTCCTGTATGCACCTGTATGCATGCCTGCATGAGTATCCCCACTGACGAGCCCATGCTTTCTCAGTGCTCTAGTATGGCCAATACAATGGGCACCACCCAGTGACCTACTCTTTTCCTTGTTCCCTTGACCGGAAAACGGGATGCCTGCAAGTGTGTCGACGGAAAAACGCTGTGCCGTTCGATTGCAAATGATGTCCCAAGCGCGGGAACTTCACTCTTGTCACTGCCCTGTGTTTTGAAGTAGCATATGTTCCTCGTATTCATGTGCAGTGCTATGTTCATAGACAGCCAAGCCACCACAAACAACACTGTGTTTTTAACAACACCCTCTTTCTACGTACATGCAGACGTCCTGACGATTGGGGGGGGTGGAGAGGGATGGGTGGGGTGAGTGGATCGAGACACTATCATCTAGTTTGTGCCAAGCATTTGCTCCTTCCTTTAGTTCTACAATCGGACAAACTGAGGGTGGAGCAACCAACAGATGCGGTGTTGCATGCGACAAGGGTCGTGCTTAACGAAGCGAAGAGCGTGCACTTGTGCATATAGGGACTAGTGACAAGTACATTGACACAGACACCTGGTCACAGCCCCGCAGGATACACGCCCGCCTTCTTGTCGACTGTGTCTTTACGGTCTTCTGTCTCAGTATGCAGCTGCTTTCTCTTCACAAATGAAGGCTGCGCGCTGTTTGCTGCATTTCACACATGCTGGCATTATGCTGGCCCATTTTTTTGTAAAGCCAGCTGAAACCTGCAACGGATTCATAAACAGATGCGGCGTTGCGAGTCTACTGTCTGCTGGCTGTTTCTCACAAGTGCGAAGAAACAAGAGAGCCTTCTCAAGTAAAGAAGAATCTAGGAAGCCCCTTTGCTTCTGATTGCTTCTGACTATTCGTTGTTCTTCTCTGAGTGAGAAAGCAGAGAACTCTTCTCTCGTCGCGAAATCTCCTTTCATCACAAAGAAGCATAAGGAGGCTTCTGAATCCCCTATCAACGGGCAGACGCGGGAAAAGTCCTGCAACCTGCAATAGCAGTAGCACGCAAGAAAGGCCATTTGTATCCCCATAAGAAGCGTGGTGCATGGTCATGGTCATCATTACCATAGCCACCATTAGTGCTTCTTACTCCCGGCCTCACTGTCTCTCTGCCTCTCTCTCTCTCCCGCGTCCTGGCCGAAGGCCGCTCCAAGTGTGCTCGAGTCTTCTTAAAGTCGAGGCCACACACCTTGGGTGAATTTTACAAGCAGATAGAACCCGTCTGGTGTCATCATCATCATCACTCTAAGTCTTTTCCCGCGGGGGCTTGGACTGTGCATATGCCATGTCTGCTTTGATACTTGAAGCTCTGAGCCGATTCAATGCAGTCCTCGCTTTCTGCGCCCAGGGATGCTTTGACTACAGTGACTACGGGTCTTGTTTGGGCTCTTTGGAGTGTCGTGAGGCTGTAACACTGCGCTCGAGGTACTTGCAGTGTCGACGCAGCACAGAGAGGCAGCTCCAGGACGGGCAGCCACACTGGAGGGCTTTAGGCTCTGGACTCGCATCGCAAGATCTCGTTAGAAGCGCACTTTGTGTCTCTGTACGTCTGGGTTTGGAGATGAACCTTTGGGGCGTCTTTAGCGTAGCACCCTTTTAAAGAGGCAGCGCACTCTGCTATCGATCGAGAGCTGCGGCGGCCGAGTCAGCAGAAGCTCCCGGTCCGCACCAGTTCACCAAAGAGCGGCGCCCCGGCGCTTCAAAGCGCAAGGGCCCCCGCACCCTGAAATCCCCAAAACCGAAAGTCGCCCACCCCCGCTAGCACTCGACTCGAGTCTCCTTGACCTTACAAGGTTAGCTTTTTTTCTGTTGCCTGACCCCGCTCTGGTTATCAAGCGAAGTCAGATTTGGGCATGCATGCTGCAGATCGAGACGGCTGATTTACATGTACGTGTGTGTACGCGCCTGCGCGTGCAAGACATATGCCATATGAAGTAAATGTCGGTTGCCGGTGGGGCTAAGGAGAATTTCCGTGCGAGAGCGGAGGCGCAGCTCCGTCATCGTCAAGCTGCCGGTCTGAACAGTATATAATATATTCATATATTGTAATTTGTTAGTATAGACATACATTTATATATATATATATACATACTGCGGTA